CATGTGTTAGAGCCTCCAGAAACAACAGACTGCAGAATCAATTACAGGCTTAGAATACTAGAAATATTATACATAGTATACAAAATGAATATATGTATGATATAACTAAAATTTAAAGAGAAAAATGAAATTCTGAGTAACTAGCAAAAGCCAAGGTAAATAATCAAGACTATTTGGAGAATAAACAAATATAGAACTTCTTGAAAAAACAACAGAAATAGAAAACTCAGTGGATGAATTTAACTACAAATTAGACACAGCAGAATGACTGAACTGAAAGGTGGATGTAAAGAAATAGTCCATAATGCAGCACAGAGAGGCAGATATAAGAACTATTACAAAGACATTTAGAGACATGGAGGATAGATGCAAAAGTTTTAACATACATCTAATGAGAGATCCAGAGGAAAAGAAAGAATCAATAGAGGAGATGCAACATTTGAAGAGAGAATGGCTGAGAACTGATGCAAAAAATTAATTTCCAGATTCAAAGAGTCCAATGAATCACAAGCCGAAAAAATAAAAATAAATTTATACCTATATCCATGATAGGGACATTGAAAAACACCAGAGTCAGGGAAAAAGACAGATGCCCTATAATCAGGAATACGGCGGTGCCTCGGATTTCTAATGTGATCCGCTCCGGGAGCCCATTCGGGCTCTGAAACGTCCGAAACCGAGGGATCCCAGCCGGCAGCTGGGCCTCAGGAGCCTGCCCCCAGCGGGAGCCTGGGGCACGGTCCACCTCCAAGGCGGGTTCGAAAACCGAAGCTTTTCCTCCTGGGTTTACGGGGTTTGTAAACTGAAATGTTCGCCAACGGAGGCGTTCGAAAACCGAGGCACCACTGTTTTAAGCTACGAGCTGACTACCCAGAAGAAAGATTAAAAGCTGAAAGACAACTGAAAACACATTATCAATGTTTTGAAAGAAAATAACTGTCGCCCTAGGACTGTGTAGAGTATACATCTCTTTTAAGAGCAAGCATGAACCACAGACACTTTTCAAACAATAAGAACTGAGTAAATTTATAGCACCCTTGCTTGAGGAATTTCTAAAGGATGGACTTCAAACTGAAGAATCGTAACCGTAGGTTGAAAGTCTGACATGAAAGAAGAAACAATAAATATTGACTATAAATCAATAACATTACTGTGAAAAACTAAAACAAATACGAATGGATAATAATAGCAATAATCAGAAGGGTGAAATTTAAGTGAAAGTCTTCTGATGCTTTTTGTTCAGGAAGAAAGTAAAAGATGCTTTAAAGTAAATAGAATATGTTAAATTAGGTAAATATGTTTTAAAACTTCTAGGAGGGTACAATTTTTAATGACTTTATAATCTAAAGGTTAGAAAAGGAAAACTGTGGACAGGCGTTTTAAAAATACAATGAGTTCAAAAGAAACTAGAGAAAAAGGGTGGAGTGAGTGAGAAGCACTAAGTAGGTGATGGAAATAAATCCACAGAAATAGTTATGGGAAATGCATGTTAATGAACTAAATGCTCCAGATTAAAAACAAAGATTGTCACTAGATACTGTATAAAAAACAAAAAAGTCATCCATTTAGCTATTCACAATAGATATCAAAATTTAAGGATTTACAAAATTCAAGAGACAAGAATATATATACTAAGGGGGGAAAAAAACTAACTTTAATGAAAATCAGTGTACATACCTTAATAGCAAGCATACAGATTTTAAATATAAAGATTGCTAGAAATGGTTACTGTGTAATAACAAAAGATTCAATTAATTAGGAAGAGATAGGATATCAATACTGTAGGCATCTATAATTATAGCTCCAAAATATATAAAAAGGAACTGATTGTATTACAGAACAATAAATACACCATTATAGGGGGCAATTTTAACCTGGCAAACTGCCTGGGCCAGTGACCAAGATTACCACCAGTGATAGTCATGTTTATATTATGTTCCCCTGATATGACGTAATGAGAAGGAACTTCACCTTTGTGGCCTTCCCCTCCCAACCCCTATCTCCAATCTAACCTTAAGAAAAAACACCTGACAATCCCAAACTGAGGGACATTCTACAGAATATCTGACTAGTACTTCTCAAAACTGGCAAGGTCATCCAAAACAAAGAAAGTCTGAGAAATAGTTAAAGAACAGAAGGTTCTGGGAAACAGGATGACTAAATGCAATATGATATCCTGAACTGAATTCTGAAACAGAGAAAGGGCATTAGTGGAAATACAAATGATTCAAATAAAGTCTGGAGTTTAGTTCATTGTAATGTGTCCATGTTGGTCTCCTAGTTGTGACAAATGTACGGGAGTAATGTAAGATGTTAATGCTTGGGGAAACTGGGTGAGAACCATGTAAGAACTCTCTGGACTAGCTTTGTAACTTTTCTGTAAATCTAAAGCTACTCTTATATATAAAGTTTATTTAAAACAATGTAAAGCAAGAACAGACAATGACAGGCTGAAGAAGTGTTCCAGGTTAAAAAAAACTAAAATCTGGACAGCTAAATTCAGTGTGTGATTCTTGATTAAAATTTAGACTGGGGGAAATAGCTTTAGGACATTAATGGAACCGTTGTTGAAATTTGAATATGGAGTGTGGGTTAGATAATATCATTGTATCATTGTGAAGCTTCCTGATTTGGATCATCATAGTGTGGTTATGTAAGAGAGCATCCTTATTAGGAAATACACACTTGGGCATTCAGAGGAAATGGGGCACAACATCTCCAACAATGTCTCCAACTTCTCCCTGATGGTTCAAGGGAAAAAACACCTAAAACAGGAGACAGGGAGATGGGAGG